CTGCCGGTCGTCGCCCCGCAGGTTCCGGAGCTCGTCGTCGTGGTACGGCTTCAGCGCCGCCGGCATCTGGCTCGGCAGGTACGTCTGCGCATATGTACACAAACCAAAACATTGTCATTCACATGAGCACTGAACCTGCACCTGCACCTGCACCTGCAGGAAGCCGATCGATGGCTTGCTCATAACAAAAGAAAACTCCCGTACGTACGTACTCCCTCCGTCCGAAAATACTTGTCATCAAAATGGATAAAAAGAGATGTATCTAGAACTAAAATACATCTAGGTACATCTTCTTTCAGGTGTTGCTAGCTAGCTAGAGCAGTAATCGCCTTTTCTTTCAGGTGTTTTATCTCACTGTTTCACTAGTACTATATGAGTTATGTATGTTGATGACCGAATGTTGTTCGGAGTCCGAGATGAGATCACGGACATGACGAGGAACTCTAGAATGGTCCGGAGATAAAGTTTGATATATGGGATAGTAGTGTTTGATCTCCGGAAGGGTTCCGGAATTCACCGAAAGGGGTTCCGGATGTTTCCCGAAATGTTTGGGCACGAGAACACTTTATCTGGGCCAAAGGGGAAAGCCCACGAGGCTTTTGGAAAGTGCAAAAGGAAGTTTTGCGGAGACCAGAGGCTAGACGCCAGGAACCCTGGCGTCTAGGGGGTAGACGCCGGGAACCCTGGCGTCTAGCCCTGGAGTCCGAGAAAGACTCTTACCTTTCGGGCAAAACCGACTTTGAGGAGGCTTTTGCTCCAAGTTTCGACCCCATGGCTCAACATATAAATAGAGGGGCAGGGCTAGCATCAAAGACACATCAAGAAACACCAAGCCAGTGTCGGCAACCCTGTCTCCTCTAGTTTATCCTCCGTCATAGTTTTCGTAGTGCTTAGGCGAAGCCCTGCGAAGATTGTTCTTCACCAACACCGTTACCACGCCGTCGTGCTGCCGGAACTCATCTACTACTTCGCCCCTCTTGCTGGATCGAGAAGGCGAGGACGTCACCGAGCCGAACGTGTGCAGAACTCGGAGGTGTCGTGCTTTCGGTGCTTGGATTGGTCGGATCATGAAGACGTATGACTACATCAACCGCGTTGATATAACGCTTCCGCTTACAGTCTACGAGGGTACGTAGACAACACTCTCTCCTCTCGTTGCTATGCATCATCATGATCTTGCGTGTGCGTAGGAATTTTTTTTGAAATTACTACGTTCCCCAACACTTCACGTGATGCGGTGCGCGATGAGGAGAGGGAGGAAGATACATCTTCGGAGGCGGAAGAATCGTCTTCCGAAGAAGAGGACGAGGACGAAGACGAGGACAAGGACGTGGAATGATGTGTCTTTCCTTTGTGTATTGAACTTGATTTGCATTTTGAACTTGGTTGGATGAACTTGTGAGCATGATTTTAAACTTGTGGACATGAACTTCATCAACTTGTTTGTGTGAAATTTTTATTGTGTTAAAAATGTTCATCATTTTGTGTTGAAAAATGCCATATGCAATGCACCGGCGAGTCGCGCGCGCTGCATTTTGGCGCGCTGCATTTTAGCGCGGCCGCTAGAGTTAGCGTTGCGCGCCGCGCCAAACCAGCCGATGCGCGCGCGGCATATGTGTTTTTTGCGCGCGGCGCGACCGGCGCCTGTTGGAGATGCTCTTACTTACACCTCGCGGCCCAATAAATGCAAAAGAGCCAAGTCGGTGAGTATGTACATGCATCACTCAATGCGCATGTATGCCACATTATTTAAACCCGTTGATTGTCTAAAGAAATGTAAACCCATCGAACAATTTTCCCCTAACTTGTTCTTTTTTCTTAAAAGAAATTTCCCCTTACTCGTGTGAACAGGAATTATAAAACAGCATAAGTGGTAGTCATAGTGATCTATGACAAATGAGCTAAGAGGCTAAAAGGTGTGCAAAATCATTGTGTGTCAGTGAAGAAAATATTGAATTAGTTTAACTGAATTATAGTATAGTGTGTGACTGATAAAGAGTAAACACATTTAGTGAAAATAATATAGTTCAAACCGTTCGAGACACGTGATACTACTGAAACATGTTGTCAATTACATGGTTCTTGTTAGTTGTATCTCTGGCCACTGCATTGAGAAGAAAGATAGAGTTAAGATACGTGATACAATAGAAACAACAGAGCTGAAAACCATTTACTTTCATCGCAAAAAATTAGCACTCAGCCTTTATAGGATATAAACATGCACTTGTTAGGAAGACACATAGTATTATCTAGCTTATTTTCTTTGCATTTGTTCGAAAGACGTACAATGCAATAGAGATAATGCAATTGAAAACAATTTATTCTCTTCGCACAAAAGAACACGGTCTACTCAAATTTCACAGGATAAACATGCACTTGTTAGCAAGACAAATAGTTTCATCCGACTTGTTTTCTTTGCGTGACTTTATAACGCTGACAGGGCAGGGGGAGGTTGAGGGAGCACTTGAATGAGGTTTCTATGATTATAAATCGGCAACATCATGCATGCGTCGTACGATGATATGATTATTTGGATAGGTATAAGTAGTGTGAGTGTTGGCCAAATCGATCGGTTTTAATTTCGTGGGGGGATCCATGTTTCATGCTCTACTCGCTATCATCTCAACCGATCAAGAAAAGTAATTTGCAAGTACTCGAATCGAGGCTCGTCTTTGCCATCCATCCCCAATTAATATTGTACCTTCACGGTCTTCATAAGAACAAGACAAGATGTCCATCATGTCCATGCATTATCTCGTTAGGCTGGTCATAATGGACAAGAACATAGTCTAGTAACTTACACACTTCCCTAGACTATGTTACTAATCTTCACAGTGGGTAGGAACATCTATGTAGTGTCATACAACAATGTATTTATTATGTTATAGACTCATTGTTTCTTGGAGTGTGTGATGTTCCGGTAACTTAGCTAGTTACCACAAGCACCTCTCTCTTCATTAAATATGCGACACATAAGCAAAGTTGTATTGGAGTGTGTGATGTTACTCCTAAGTTCCTCCCCATTGTGACCAGCCTTAGGCTGCTTTCAATGCATGGGTGCTTAGATAAGCATATTAAAAAGTTTAGCAACTAATGTCCACAATGCATAGGTGCTTCACTTGTTGGTGCTAAGCTCCCCTCATTTAATGCTTTAGCAACGAAACTATTTTATGCATTGGTGGATTTCTTTCATTTAATTGCTTTTGCCTATGTTCATGCGCTTAGCATTGGTTCTTCCTGAGATCATCAAACTCACCTCTCTCCTCTTTATTACCTTGCCACATCAGTTTTTTTTGTCTACGTGGCAGTCTTAGCACCTGTACAAGGTGGAGCATTAGCAGGGGCCTTATACGGAAAAGAGTCTAGCATACGAGCTTTCCTTCTCCCAATTTTGCCGGGATACAACAAGTTGGCCCTCGCCGCTTCACCGCTTCATGTTTGTTGGTAACATGGTTGGGGTGCCTGTAGGGCCCTTTTGGCATCCCATCCAAATTCAGTTCTTTGCCAGTCACCTTATCCACTAACACAGTCGATCAAGCAACTTTGTCTGCTGCCAGATGGTTGCTTCGCAGTTGCTTGGGTCTTCCTGGAGGCACAGTCTGGGGAGTAGCATGGTTACTTGCTTGTGCAGATGGAGGTTCTTCCTCTTCCTCATCCTCATCGTTGCAAGTGCTGTCAGTAAGCTTTTGCAGACTGGCCTGAATCTTCTGAAAATTGCGCTGGATGCTGGCAAAATTCTTGTTAACTGACGCCGTGAATTCGTAGAATTCTTTCTTGTCCTCTTCCCTGTCTTGCCGCAACGTCTTGATGTCCAATTGCAAGGATTCCAATTCCAGAGCGCCAGTATCGATAGTGTCTTCAGGTTTTGACACGTTGGGTAACAGAGATGCTCAACCCGCAAAAGAACACTCGTCTCAGCTCCTGGGTGGGAGAGGAGGGATTTTACGACCGGTGCCCCAGTAACCAGGCCTCACCGACCAGATCTCCCGCTGCCGCAACCTGTAGGCCGCCGAGAGAGTAGCACTAGAAGGGTGGGTTGGGTGGGATTTTACTCTGAAGAAGTGTTCTTCAGAAACCTCCGCCGCAGACCTCCTTGCTACGGATCGATCTACCGCCGCCGTACGCCTCCCTGCTGCTCACCGCCGTCTTCAGCCCGCATCCAGATCGGATCTGGCCCCAATTCGCCACCGCCGAGGTCAATAACCTGGCTCTGATTACCACTTGACAGGATCGAACTAAGGACTGTCGCCAGAATTCAAAAAACAGAGGAAAAACACAGAATTTCACGGGATGTTTGGAGGATTTTCATTTCATATCTGGAGGGGTTTTAGCTAGGGTTAGCCAGCCGGAACACGGCGGCTTCAAGGGCACAGCCCGGAATTACAATAATCTGTCTCTACTCCACAAGCGGTGCGGCTTAAGAAGGCTACAGAAAGTGCAAAAGAATTTCACTGGTTTGTGCTGCATTTTTTTTAATTTGGTTTCCTCGTCATCTATTTTGCTCATGCAGATCACATATGAGCCAAGAGAACTTCACATACATCGCTGTAGTGTTAATCAGCTAATTTCCCGCAGGAAAAGGTTCAGTTAGTGCCAAAACCTTGCCAAATGAACATAAAGAGTACGTATGTGATGAGAGCTTGCAAGATTCCATATGCAACCAAAATTTGGACAACCAACCAACCAAGAGCCAAAATGCCATGAGCTGCCAAAATTTTGGGTGGGCAAATTTTGGCACCAGCCAACACATACAGACAGACAAACCAAAAAGGAAAAAGGGTAGCTAGTGGAAGCTCCACACATCAGCATGCAAATAGATGCTCACCAAGACTAGCTAGATAACATGGTGCACTCATCACATTGTTTGTTTCTTGCATTGCATCTCGACACGGACAGCACTTGGCAGTTTACATACATTGCACGCATGCACTACAGCACTAGCATAGTGAGCGTTTTCTGCCTTGAGAAAATTGGCTTGTTGCAGAGGAAGCTTCGTTCATATGCCGGACGGAATGCTCGGCAAGGCGGCGCTCGCCGTCCTTCTCGTGCTCGCCGGCCTTGCGGCCGGGACCAGGCCGCCCCCGCCGCCGGTGTCGGAGGAGACGCTGGAGAAGGTCGCCGGCTCGCTGGAAATGTACGTCGACAGGCTCCCCCAGATGCCCAAGGTACGCGGCTACTCCATGGAACGCGGCCGCGCCACGCCGGTGCACCTCGCCGTCGGGATGTACCGAAAGAAATGGGTACGCTGTTCTTCTATTTGTGTATGTATGTACGGCGTGATTACTTCACTTGGTCACCTCGCCGGCTCACCTCGTGTGCGTGGACTGCGGACGCATGCGTGCAGAAATTCCACCGCGACCTGCCGGCGACCACCGTGTTCGTGTTCGGAGAGTCGGCGGAGAGCGCCACGTTCCCCGGGCCGACCATCGAGGCGCTGCAAGGGGTCCCTCTGTCGGTGACGTGGGAGAACCACCTGCCGGAGAACCACATCCTTCCGTGGGACCCCACCGTGCCCGCAGGGACGGAGCCAGGAATTTTGTATAGGGGGGGCGAGTTGCAGACTTGAGCTCTTATAGGCAGTTGGGCATCGGTTAACCATAAAAAAAATTCCTTGCAAAAACCTAAGCCTGAACTAGTGTTTTCATTAGTGTGAACACTACAAAAAACTATTAAAATGTGCATTTTTGGCAAGACAAATTTAGTTTCCAAATTGATTGCATTACGAATTTGGTAGACAATACAATATCTATCTATTGATTCCAAATTCAGTTTTCATGTCGATCAATTAACAATCATTCGTTTTAACCCACAAAAATCAGATATTTGAAGCTGATATTAATTATGAGAGTGGACGTACCATACACGCAAAGAGGATGTCAGATTCCGTGCATCATCTCCTCCGTGGTCGCTCATGGTGGTGGTGTTTCTCCTAATCTCCTTTATGGTTGCTGAGGAAATGATCAATTGGGATTGCTAGGCTTGAACGGTTGGAAGCAAGTGCCCTAGGAAACGTTTTCCATTCTTCTCTTCCTCTTCGTATCTACACACAACAGCCAATATTTCCTACTGTAATTAACTTCTCATGTTCGTAGGTTTTTTATGGAACAACCACACAAATTAGAGCAGATTAAAGATCAGGAGATGAAGTAAGGGACTAACCGTGCAGGTAATCAGCCGTGGCGGATCTCGATCAACCCCCCTATGATCTTCGCTTGGAGACTGAAGCTAATCTTGCGGGTAGGCGGAGATTGGAGGCGACGACAGATGGAAAGATCGCACGAGCCGCAATCTGCGTGCGTTCTGTTGGAGCGATATAAAATCGTGTCGATCGCCAGGATTGTAGCAGACTGCGTTGGTGCTCCTGGTCGCAAGCCCTTGACCGGTGGGCTCTGTTTTCTTTGACCTCGATGGTGGGCCTTTTTTTTGCTGGGTTGTGATCTGTTGTTTCTTGTACATGGGCTGCCCGAGGGGTTTCACGGTGTTACACGAGACAAGTGGACAGGGGGGGCGAATCAAGTCAAAAGGCCTGCTAATAAACGGATCTAACTAATCGCTATTGAGGAGAACAACTTCGTTGGGGGGGGGTCTAGCCCCCCCTCGTCCCCCCTTGTCTCCGTCCCTGCGTGCCCGTCGCCATCCCCAGGCACGGCGGCGTCCCGACCGTCGTCCACCTCCACGGCGGCGTCCACCCGCCGCAGTCCGACGCCAGCGCCTTCGCATGGTTCACCGCCGGCTTCCGCGAGACCGGCGCCAAGTGGACGACGCCGACGTACGTGTACCCGAACGTGCAGTCCCCCGGTGTCCTCTGGTACCACGACCACGCCCTCGGCCTCACGCGCGCCAACCTCCTCGCCGGCCTCCTCGGCGCCTACGTCATCCGCAATCCGGCGGTGGAGTGGCCGCTCGGCCTCCCTTGCGGCGACGAGTTCGACCGCGTGCTCGTGCTCGCCGACCGCAGCTTCTATGCCAACGGCTCCCTCTACATGAACTCCGCCGGCGACAACCCGCACGTCCACCCTCAGTGGCAGCCTGAGTACTTCGGCGACGTCATCACCGTCAACGGCAAGGCGTGGCCGTTCCTTCCCGTCGCCCGGCGCCGCTACCGCTTCCGCGTCATCAACGCCAGCAACGCGCGCTACTTCAACCTCTCGCTGAGCAACGGCCTCCCCTTCCACGTCGTCGGCTCCGACACCAGCTACCTGGCCCGGCCGGTCGCCGCCACCCACGTCGTCGTCGGCGTGTCCGAGTCGTTCGACGTCGTCATCGACTTCTCCGACGACGAGTCCAACACGCCCGAGGTGGAGCTGGTGAACACGGCGCCGTACCCGTTCCCCGACGGCAACGCGCCGGGCCGCCTCTCCAGCAAGGTGATGAAGTTCGTCATCGAACCAGCGAAGACAAGGGACCACTCCAGGGTGCCGGCGAGGCTGCTGGAGTACCACGCGAAGGTCGCCGAGGAAGAGGCGACAAGAAAGCGATACATCGTGATGTACGAGTACGACGACGGCGCGACGGGCGGCCCGACGCACCTGTACATCAACGGGAAGCGGCTGGAGGACCCGGCGACGGAGACGCCGCGCGTGGGGGCGACGGAGGTGTGGGAGGTGGTCAACCTCACGCCGGACGACCACCCGCTCCACCTCCATCTGGCCACGTTCCAGGCGGTGCGCGCCCGGGGGCTGGTCGGGCTTGACGAGTTCAGGCGCTGCATGGCCAGGCTCAACGACGCGGCCAGGTGCAACGTGAGCCAGCACGCCGCTGGGGACGCGGTGGGCGTGCCGGAGCACGAGAGGACGTGGAAGAACGTGGGGAAGATGGCGCCGGGGCACGTGACGACGGCGGTGGTCAAGTTCCTGATGGTGGACACCGGCGAGGACTACCCGTTCGACGCCACGGCCGAGCCTGGCTACGTCTATCACTGTCACGTACGTATTAATCACTTACAAAGTTACAAGTACAATAATTACTTGCCAATGAAAAACAAAACTTGCCAAGACGTACACCATTGACGTTTTGTTGCTTTTACTCGCAGATTTTGGATCATGAGGACAATGCCATGATTCGCCCGCTAAAGCTCATCAGATAATTATCGCCTCGGTTTTGCTATTTTTCTAAGACAAATGAGAAATAGCCACTTCTGCAGCAAAATCGTAGTACAAATCTGACTTTAAGACACATACAGTTGCAAATAATAAGAAAACAGTCGTCTTCAAGAGGGAGTTGCGTATGACAGATGAGCTCAACCTTGCAAAAATCTATTGCGGTGACACAAAGTGGAAAAATCTTTTATTGTGTAGTTGCCACTAAGATAAAAAAAGATGATTGTGTAGTTGTCTTTTAAACCTAAGGGTGAAAACCTAAAAGTCACAGGGGCACACACCTGCCAAGCCCTCCCCGGCCACCCGATTGCATCTCGATCCACAAAGTAGTCGGATCCCGCACGAGGGAACATTAAGTTTTAATTTTTTTATTGTTGAAACTTACGATTTTGCATCTGGAACTTGTGATTTTCTCAGTCACTCGTACCAAGTTTCATAGTTGAAAATTTAATCTTTTTATTTGTTCAAAAATTGTGATTTTGTCGATCTCTCATAATAAGTTTCAAAGGTTGAAACTTAATAGGATTTTTTAAAACTCCTAAAGATGTACTTAAAATGGATCTTATTTGAAAGTCCTCATCACAAGAAACACGAACATGAAAACATAATTTAAATTGGACATTTCATTCAAAAATTATAAAAGATTGAAAATCAGAAGCCAAAAAGAAAAAGCACACGCGAGGGACTCGGTGCCCCCGCACGCCCGTGTGATAAATCCTCTTCTAGATGAAGACAATATATCATCCACTTCATGTCATCATACTTGATGCAATATTCTATTTTTACTTGATGCTTTAAGATGCATGTTGGTTAGTGGTCTTGGATGAAGTATTAGCAATACATGCAGTTGAATAATGGTTTATAGATGTTTGGTTGTGAGTGCTTATATGCTAACTATGCCACGGACAGTCATGGTCATAAAAACCGCAATTTCATCGATACCCACCTCTAATTTGTTCACCATGCCATGCTATCTTTTAGAGGGAAACCAGTAGTGAACCTATGGATCCCAATCCATTCTTCTTTCTATTTCTTTCAACCTTGATCAAACGCTCTCTTTTACATTTCCTTGCTTTTACTTCTCCGCTGCAATATCTTTTATACACACTTACATTTAATTCTTGTAAATGGCAAATCTAGTGAGACTGACAACTTGCTGACTAGTTTCATTGGGGGGCAATAGTGAAGGAAATATGCCCTAGAGGCAATAATAAAGTTATTATTTATTTCCTTATATCATGATAAATGTTTATTATTCATGCTAGAATTGTATTAACCGGAAACATAATACATGTGTGAATACATAGACAAACAGAGTGTCACTAGTATGCCTCTACTTGACTAGCTCGTTAATCAAAGATGATTATGTTTCCTAACCATGGACAAAGAGTTGTCATTTGATTAACGGGATCACATCATTAGTTGAATGATCTGATTGACATGACCCATTCCATTAGCTTAGCACCCGATCGTTTAGTATGTTGCTATTGCTTTCTTCATGACTTATACATGTTCCTATGACTATGAGATTATGCAACTCCCGTTTGCCGGAGGAACACTTTGTGTGCTACCAAACGTCACAACGTAACTGGGTGATTATAAAGGAGCTCTACAGGTGTCTCCAAAGGTACATGTTGGGTTGGCGTATTTCGATATTAGGATTTGTCACTCCGATTGTCGGAGAGGTATCTCTGGGCCCTCTCGGTAATGCACATCACATAAGCCTTGCAAGCACTGCAACTAATGAGTTAGTTGTGAGATGATGTATTACGGAACGAGTAAAGAGACTTGCCGGGAACGAGATTGAACTAGGTATTGAGATACCGACGATCGAATCTCGGGCAAGTAACATACCGATGACAAAGGGAACAACGTATGTTGTTATGCGGTCTGACCGATAAAGATCTTCATAGAATATGTAGGAGCCAATATGAGCATCCAGGTTCCGCTATTGGTTATTGACCGGAGACATGTGTCGGTCATGTCTACATTGTTCTCAAACCGTAGGGTCCGCACGCTTAAGGTTTCGATGACAGTTATATTATGAGTTTATGTGTTTTGATGTACCGAAGGAGTTCGGAGTCCCGGATGAGATCGGGGACATGACGAGGAGTCTTGAAATGGTCGAGACGTAAAGATCGATATATTGGACGACTATATTCGGACATCGGAAAGGTTCCAAGTGATTCGGGTATTTTTCGGAGTACCGGGTAGTTACGGGAGAAGCAATGGGCCTTGATGGGCTTTAGTGGGAAGAGGAGAAAGGGCCAAGGGGCTGCTGCGCCCCCCTCCCCTCTGGTCCGAATTGGACTAGGGAAAAGGGGGCCGGCCACCTTTCCTTCTCCTCCACTTCCTTCTCCCTTCCTCCCCTCTTGGTGGACTCCTACTAGGACTTGGAGTCCTAGTAGGACTCCACATCCTGGCCGCACCAATTGCCTTGGCCGGCCTCCTCCTCCTCCATCCTTTATATACTGAGGCAAGGGGCACCCCATGGACAGAAGTTGATCTTCGTGATCGTTCCTTAGTCGTGTGCGGTGCCCCCCTCCACCATATTTCACCTCGGTCATATTGTAGCGGTGCTTAGGCGAAACCCTACGGCAGTAGAACATCAAGATCGTCACCACGCCGTCGTGCTGACGGAACTCCTCCCCGACGCTTTGCTGGATCGGAGCCCGGGAATCGTCATCGAGCTGAACGTATGCCAAGAACTCGGAGGTGCCGGAGTAACGGTGCTTGGATCGGTCGGATCGTGAAGATGTACGACTACATCAACCGCGTTGTCACAACGCTTCCGCTGTCGATCTACAAGGGTACGTAGATCACACTCTCCCCTCTCGTTGCTATGCATCACCATGATCTTGCGTGTGCGTAGGAAAATTTTGAAATTACTACGTTCCCCAATAGTGGCATCCGAGCCTAGGTTTTATGTGTTGATGTTATATGCACGAGTAGAACACAAGTGAGTTGTGGGCGATATAAGTCATACTGCTTACCAGCATGTCATACTTTGGTTCGGCGGTATTGTTGGACGAAGCGGCCCGGACCGACATTACGCGTACGCTTACGCGAGACCGGTTCTCCCGACGTGCTTTGCACAAAGGTGGCTAGCGGGTGACAGTTTCTCCAACTTTAGTTGAACCAAGTGTGGCTACGCCCGGTCCTTGCGAAGGTTAAAACAGCACCAACTTGACAAACTATCATTGTGGTTTTGATGCGTAGGTAAGATTGGTTCTTGATTAAGCCCGTAGCAGCCACGTAAAACTTGCAATAACAAAGTAGAGGACGTCTAACTTGTTTTTGCAGGGCATGTTGTGATGTGATATGGTCAAGACATGATGCTAAATTTTATTATATGAGATGATCATATTTTGTAACCGAGTTATCGGCAACTGGCAGGAGCCATATGGTTGTCGCTTTATTGTATGCAATGCAATCGCGTTGTAATGCTTTACTTTAAGCGGTAGCGATAGTCGTGGAAGCATAAGATTGGCGAGACGACAACGATGCTACGATGGAGATCAAGGTGTCGCGCCGGTGACGATGGTGATCATGACGGTGCTTCGAAGATGGAGATCACAAGCACAAGATGATGGTGGCCATATCATATCACTTATATTGATTGCATGTGATATTTATCTTTTATGCATCTTATCTTGCTTTGATTGACGGTAGCATTATAAGATGATCTCTCACTAATTATCAAGAAGTGTTCTCCCTGAGTATGCACCGTTGCGAAAGTTCTTCGTGCTGAGACACCACGTGATGATCGGGTGTGATAGGCTCTACGTTCAAATACAACGGGTGCAAAACAGTTGCACACGCAGAATACTCAGGTTATACTTGACGAGCCAAGCATATACAGATATGGCCTCGGAACACGGAGACCGAAAGGTCGAGCATGAATCATATAGTAGATATGATCAACATAGTGATGTTCACCATTGAAACTACTCCATCTCACGTGATGATCGGACATAGTTTAGTTGATTTGGATCACGTGATCACTTAGAGGATTAGAGGGATGTCTATCTAAGTGGGAGTTCTTAAGTAATATGATTAATTGAACTTAAATTTATCATGAACTTAGTCCTAGTAGTATTTTGCAAATTATGTTGTAGATCAATAGCTCGCATTGTTGCTTCCCTGTGTTTATTTTGATATGTTCCTAGAGAAAATTGTGTTGAAAGATGTTAGTAGCAATGATGCGGATTGGATCCGTGATCTGAGGTTTATCCTCATTGCTGCACAGAAGAATTATGTCCTTGATGCACCGCTAGGTGACGGCCTATTGCAGGAGCAGATGCAGACGTTATGAACGTTTGGCTAGCTCAATATGAAGACTACTTGATAGTTTAGTGCACCATGCTTAATGGCTTAGAATCAGGACTTCAAAGACGTTTTGAATGTCATGGAGCATATGAGATGTTCCAGGAGCTGAAGTTAATATTTCAAGCAAATACCCGAGTTGAGAGATATGAAGTCTCCAACAAGTTCTATAGCTAAAAGACGGAGGAGAATCGCTCAACTAGTGAGCATGTGCTCAGATTATCTGAGTACTACAATCGCTTGAATCAAGTGGGAGTTAATCTTCCAGATAAGATAGTGATTGACAGAATTCTCTAGTCACCATCACCAAGTTAGTAGAACTTCATGATGAACTATAGTATGCAAGGGATGACGAAAACGACTCCTGAGCTTTTCATGATGATGAAATCGATGAAGGTAGAAATCAAGAAAGAGCATCAAGTGTTGATGGTAGACAAGACCACTAGTTTCAATAAAAGGGCAAAGGGAAGAAGGGGAACTTCAAGAAGAACAGCAAGCAAGTTGCTGCTCAAGTGAAGAAGCCCAAGTCTGGTCCTAAGCCTAAGACTAAGTGCTTCTACTGCAAAGGGACTGGTCACTGGAAGCGGACCTACCCCAAGTATTTGGCGGATAAGAAGGATGGCAAAGTGAACAAAGGTATATTTGATATACAGATTATTAA